TGATCCGAAACTGAGCAAGCCACAGGTTTTGGTTGTAGTATTATTATTCAGTTGTATAACATTCTGAAAAAATGTTAGTGGTCACTGTGGTGTGGGCTGTAGGAATGTGCCTTTTAAGGGTCATAGGTTCGAGACCTGGTCTTGGATTTTTAAAGTTTCTATGCTACTTAGTATTTTTGTTAAAGTGACCAATTTGTATTGGTTTGCCCTTTTACCAATGTAGATTGGATAAAAACACTACCAAATTAGATTGGTTGTTTCAACCAAAAGATTGATTGTACACTTAACTTCAAACCAGATTAACTGTGGAAAAAATGTTATTTTTCAAAAAGATGAATAATACATTTCATTTTGCACATCATTTCCCAAGTTCCACAAGCACTTTTAATTCAATTCAATTCAGTTTATTTATATAGCGCTAGTTCACAACACATGTCATCTCAAGGGACTTTACAGTTCACCAGATCATACAGTCAATTTGATTAAAAGTTTTCTATCTAAAGAAAACCAGTTGAAGCTCATTGACTCGAATGCAATCCCTCACACTGAGCATGCTTGTAGCGACAGTGGAGAGGAAAAAGTCCCTTTTAACAGGAAGAAACCTCCAACAGATCCAGGCTCAGTGTGAGCAGCCATCTGCCGAGGCCAACTGGGGTTCAAGGGACAGAAGCAGAGATACAAAAAGCAGCTGTAAAAGGCGGCCCCCTTCCAGGAAACACAGCCAGGCAGACAAGCTCCAAGCCAACTCACATGTCAGAGGATGAAGAAAGCACATTCAGCCAGTCACAGTCAGAGAACAAGGACTACACTGGAAAACAGGCTGATCTCCAACAACTATGCACAAGGGTGTTGATGGCAGTAGCACAGCTGATATTTCTCTCCAGGATGGAGTCACAGCCAAACAGACCAGATGAAGCCACTATGAGAAAAAGCAGAGAGAGCATAAGGTTAGAGATTCAACTAACAGATTCTGCAGAGGGGGAGAATAGAGATAGAATGAAGCAGAATGATGAAAAAGGGCCCCCTATGTCCTCCAGAAGTCTAAGCCTATAGCAGCATAACTATAGAGATTGCTCCTTTTATAGATGTCTTCTTTTTTTTATATATATATATATGACTTATGTCACTAAAATGACTAAAAACAAGCAGTGTACCTTAAAAGATTGTTATTTTCTAAGTCAATTTAGACACAAAAAACATAAAAAATATTTTATTATACACATCAATTATGAACACATTCAAAGGGACTTTAATAAAAAAAGAAAAACAATTGAAAACCTCAGATGATGCGTCTGTAGGTGGTGTTCACATGAAGCTCCATGAAATGTGTGATTTGTTGAACCAATTTGGCCGCAAGCTTTAATGCCTCATGAGGCTTCATCTCAGCATCACTATTTAAGAGTGAAATTCAATTGTGCACACCATTTAATCTTACTAGTCTGTCCGTTTGTCACCCTGGTCATTCTCAGATTGGCCTAAGACAAAGATCTGATCCAGCATTTTAGAGTGGTGTCAGTTGGCGCAGTTCTAAGCAGTTGTGGTCCAAGGGGACATGGTTATGGAAGCTTTGTTCCATAAGCCCTTTCTATGTTAGAGAAGGTAATGGAAACGTTTTTTTTTTCCAAAAAAAAAAAAAGTAAGTCTAGTAGTTCAGCTGACAGCCTATCTGCCATCATGGGGCACCCGGGGAGCAGTGTGGGGTTAAGGGTCTTCCACAAAAACCTAGAGTGGCAGTCTGTGGGTGTGGGGCTCAAACTCAGAACCTCAGGATTCCAAGCTCTATGCCCTAACCACTAGGCCGCCACTCCCCCTACAATACATACAAGTTTTTCATATCTTCATTTTTTTGGTGTCTGCAAGTTGCATCTTGACTGCAGCATGATTGGAATTTAAACTGTTAAAAGTTTTTCAACAATCAGATAATTCAATATAATGAACTCTATGCTGAATAACATCAGTTTGAGGTTTAGAGATCAATGCAGTGTGTGATCAGTGTGGGTAAGACAGAGGTATGGGGCAATCATCATGAAAAGGTATCAATCTACAAGAGACTGGTGAGGCAGTCACCGGATCTATACTCATTGTTTGTAATGTCTGCAAGGACTTTATTATAGCGTTTTATCTAGCAACACTAATAGTCCTAATTCTGCATTACACTCCACAATGTTTAATTTTATTTATTGGACTTCATTTTACTCCTAATTTTAACCCCTTTTAAAATCTATACTCTGACTTGCACTCATCAAGGCAGCTTATCAGGGGCAGTAATCTCAGCAGAGGCTCTAGACTTCCATACCACCAGACACCCCCTCCAGCTTTGCTACGGGAAGCTCAAGGTGCTCTCTGGGCAGCTGACAGACATAGTCCATCCAGCGTGTCCTGGGTTGTCCCCTGGGCCTTCTCCTGGTGGGATGTGCCTGGAACACCTCCAGAGGGAGGCATTGAGGGAGAGGAGTCACTTTAGCTGACTCCTCTCAATTGGAAGGATGTTCTTTCGATCATGATCCAGATTTCAGGATCACAGTTGAGGATAGGAACGTAGACTGACCTATAAATCTAGATCTCCGCCTTTTTGCTCAGCTCTCTGTTCACCACAACAGATGCAGCCTCACTTATCGATCTGTTGATCTTCAGCTTCATTCTCACCTCAAAAAATACAACTGATGCTGTCTAATTAGTTATTGCAGATCAGTGTATCTGGCTGCATTCGTTTATCACTTATGTGGCAGTTTCTAATGTAGCTTTATGCTTGTGCTGCACTTTAAACCTTTCGTCAAAACAAGCCATCAGCCAAAAAAAACAAAAAATAGTGTTTTTGTTCCAGAAACTATCTAGTACAAAATTAATTAATACAAAAAGCATATGACTCGACAGCAAAACTAGCAAGATGTTTTTTTCATCCAGATTGAAAGACCAGGTAAAGAGAAGGAAAAGATAACCAAGAGGCCTGTGGTAGCTTGGAAAGAGGTTGTTGAGTTTTACAGTTCAGGTTGGTTAATCTGTGTAGTCCTGTTGCTTTGGAAGACAAACTAGAATAAAGCTGCAGTTAAAAAAAAAACATAAGAAGACTCATGTAGAGTTTGTCACAATACATGTTGTACTGTCAAGTTGGAGAACATGTTAAACACCGCAAAAAATTAAAATCTTGATAAGTCATTTTTTCTTAAAATAAGTGCATTTGTCCTTGAATTGTGGAGATAAAAGTGACATCTTGCCAATGGAACAAGACAATTTAGATTTGAAATAAGAAAACACAATTGCATTGTCTTATTTCAAGTGAATATCATCTAATTATCTTATTTTAAGAGTAAAAAAACTGATTTCATTGGCAAACGATCTCATTTACCTACTCAAATCAATGGTAAATACACTTAATTTAAGAAATGTTTACTTATTTCTAGATCGTTTTTCCAGTGAAGGTGTTTACATATTAATGGAGATTTCCCTGCTGGCTAGAATCTAATTGAAATTCCTCTGGAAAACTTAAGAACAAATATTTATAAACCCTGTCTTAAAGCCCACCAAAGACTGAGATTTTTTGCAAATAAAAAGGGAAAAATTAAAAGCAGGCTGGTAGAGGCAACAAAAAAGAGACACATAGTGCAAATTTCAACCTAAGATTTTTAGATAAGTTACTTAAACTGATGACTTAAGATTTATATTTCAGAAAATGCTTCATAATTCTGATCTATTTCATTTCTGTCACATGAAACCCCAATAAAATACATTGAAATATAGAGTTTTCAAGTGATAAAATGTATAATGTTCAAAGACTATGGTAACTTCCCGAGGCACTGTATAGTATTAATGCTAGAATATTTAATATAGCAGTATGGGATTTAAAAAAAGATTTGCTTCTTGATAACAATGAACCTCTCCCTATGTTCAGGCATGCAAATTAACATGCGATAGAAAATGGAATCATTTATAATGTCAAGAAAAAATTCACTGACTCATTAACATAACATGGTATCCTGGTCTGTCTTTGAGAGTAAAAGATGCAGACATGTATTTGGTCCTAATGATATGACAGTTAACAGATTTATGTGGTCCAGCCTGTATTGGATCATAGATGCACAGTCACCTCCAGCAGGAAGCAGAATTGGGCTGTCACTCAAATAGACAACCGTGAAAGGGCACAGAGCCCTGAAGGATATATTAATAAATAAAATACAGCTCAGGGGTAAACACACACACACACAGTACAAAGTCTGCCAAAACAGAGACGGCCCAACATCCTCTAAACCAGCTGTTGTGCATCAGTCGCTTCTATAATCGACAGACACATTTTCTCTCCTTTAAAACCAATTGGAGTTAGTTTACGATTCATCCTTGTTTGTCCAGAGGAAACTGAGAGGGTTGTACAAGTATGGAAGAGGACTAAAACATGAGGAGCTCAAAATCCACTTTTATCAGCATTCAATAATCTGCACACTTAGATCAGTAAATATAGATTTTGGTTAGGATTAAAATACAAGCTTTGAATGCAGTAGTACCATTACCCTAATTAAAGTTTTATAAATGACCCAGTTTACAGTATCTTGCATAGGTGATGGATCTCAGTGTCAATTGCATTGTTCCTTTCACTCTTTTACTGTCATGATTGTGATCTAGCACCACATTTTGTCCTGATCCTTTTTCCAATATCAAATCCTTTCCATTTTCACTCTCACCTCTCCTTATTGTGTCCTTTTCACTATTCCCCTGATTTGCACTTGAAATCAATAGATGAAGATCTTATGGTGTTTGTTAATTTTCAAATAAAGTTATTTGTGGATGGAAATATTTTTTTAATTGAGTATCAGGGAAGTTCAAACACAGAGATTGAAATAAAATAAGCGACTGTTTAGTCAATGATTTTATTCTCTCTAATACTATTTGTCTTTGTGCACTGATTAGATACTAAGCAAATAACAAATACATTTATGTGTTTGCTGAAGTATCTCTTATCTACACCATGGCTTATCATTGCATCTGTGTGATTCATTTTTCCTCTGCAGGAGGTGTTCACACCAGAGTGTAGATTTAAGGAGTCAGTTTTTGAAAACTACTACGTGATCTACTCATCGACTGTGTACCGGCAGCAAGAGTCGGGCAGAGCATGGTTTCTCGGTCTCACAAAGGAGGGACAAGTCATGAAAGGCAATCGGGTCAAGAAAACTAAGCCTTCATCTCACTTTGTGCCCAGGCCTATTGAAGGTATGAAAATGTTTAAAGCAAAGCTATAAACTCTTAGCTTGTTTTAAATGTACATTTTTAGTAAGTCATTTAAACTATAGCAGTTTTTGGTCTAAACTGTCCTTTTAGAGCAGAGGTCACGGATTAGCGGATCTGGACCCACCTGCTTGGTAATCCGGACCCAAGCTGATTTAAAATATTTATAAATTACCACATGTCCGATGACAGTGTCTAACTGCCCCCCTTCTTCCGTTAATTTGGTAGAGCCCTCCGGAGCAGCTATATGCGATACAAATTAGCCAATGAGCTTTGTCAGTCTGGGTCACGGCTGCGAGCCACTTTTAGACATAGCAGGCAAACCTATGGCAAGCCGGGCGATGGGAAAGAAGGAAATAACTATTTTATTTATGCATAACATGGATGCATAAACACATCATTTTATTTCTGTGTTAAATTCTGTTTAAAGTAAGAGATTATCATTAAAAATGTCTCCGGAGCTTTACTGGTTGATGATTTTCTTTATTCTGACCCCACTGATTTTTAATTGGTTACCCCTGTCTTAGAGGATTATAAGAGAATTAGTGCACTCTGATTATTAAAATAGCCCCATCCATAAATACTGTTTGCAGTTCCCAGAAAACACTAAGCTCAGATGACATGTGAGCCTGAGAGTTGTTGAAAATATATCATCCCTTTTTCCCTATAAAGCTCTAAATGAAACAGGGCTTTTTTTTTTCTTCACTGATGTTTATTTGACTAACTTACGATACATTTTTTTCTCATCTAGCAGGATGACACTTGCCAATGTACTGCCAAAAACTGTATTGAAAATAAATACATCTACTTACAGGGTCCCTACATGGGCATTACCAGTCTGTGTAAAAACATTTTCAAAGACTAAAGTATGAAAAAAGACTTTTTCACAGAAAATGACGTGTAGACACTTTAAATTTATTTAGATTTAATTATATAATTTTTTCCATATAATGTATCCTTTAAAAATAAAGTTTTAAACCGAATGTGTGGTACATAAACTGAGCATTATCAAAGTGGGTTCAGAAGCAAAACAAAGCTTTGAGCCACGTTTTTATTTTTAGCAGAATAAAAATATCAAAGTTCCCAAACTTTGTTTTGTAAAATCATTTCAGATTTGGTAAGTCAGATATCAGACATGTTTAACTGAAACAGGTCTAATTTAAATCACCCTTAATGAACCCTTTACCAAATTAAAAGCCAACACCACTCTCAAGCTGTTTAATCATTTGTCTAGAAGTTAGAAGTCCCTTTCGCAGCGTTCCGTTCTGAACAAATGTCAGAATTCTATTTTTGTTTCACAAACAATAATTGTGAAACAAAAATAGTTATAAAATATATGGTTGCAGAAGTATTTTAGAGAACCCTTATTCATATGCTAATTTGAACTTTGAAAATATCACAAATTTTAAGGCCTTAAAATGCTCTTTTTAAGGTTCCAAAACTATGTTAAGAAAAAAAACAAGTTCAAGAATCTGCTTTCGGACAGAGTGGTCATAATAGCTGTTTCGACAAAGCTTTACTAAGTCTTATCAGCTGTTTGTGTTTCTGTCAGGGGATCGGTCTTATCATGAGAACTTGTCAAGCGGTGTGATTATAGAAAAATGCTGACATTGTCCTTGTTCCCTCTTCTTTTCCCTCTCAGCCCAGTATAATTATCCCAGCCTCACACCTGACCTTGTCCATGTCTGCACACCCATCTCTTCAATCTACTCCAGTCCCCTTCTGATCACCTCCTATCTTTGTCCTTTTCTTTGCTCCTATTTGTTTGCATCTCTGCCACAGTTTGTATGTACCGGGAGCCATCGCTGCATGAGATAGAGGACAAGCACCGCTCCAGAAAGAGCTCAGGGACTCCCACCATGAACGGAGGGAAAGCTGTCAATCAAGATTCCACATAGCACCAGTTACAGGGATTTCCAGTAGGGGGTTCGGGTGAGGGATGTTGGGTTGGCATCTTCCTGACTTAGGGGGAAGGGGCCAAGATAAAGAAAAAATAAAAACTTCACCATTCCCCCTGAGATTTCTGCCCCTCCATACTCTTTTTAAACAAAAGAGGGTGTGGAACAGCTGCAAGGAGCTATAACTGTACAACCAAGAAAACAAGAACAAAACTGAACTCTTGCCTGTGAAAATGTTTTAGATATATATATAAATATATATATTCTTGACCAACATTTTATGCAAAACTGATAAAAAAAAAGGCTGTGAAAACAAAGGAAATATGTTCTCTCTTCACATATATACAAATATGTCATTTTTATTTTAAGTTGTGAAAAAAGCTTTAATACATGTTGAGTTTTCATTCGAGACCCTTTTCCTACACATTGCTGCACTTTAATGGATTATTGGGTTAAATTTGTAAATGATATCCTCAGCATTTATCATTATAACTCTCATTACTGATTTACTGAGTGGAATTCAATATCAGTGACAGTAATAGTGGTTCGTTTATGGGGTTTTTTCTGTTATGTTTTTTTTTTCATTATATCATCTTCAATGGAAGATCAAAGGTTAAGGTTATCAATGGTAGGATGTTATTTACTCAGGTGTGTACTGTAAGTTAGACCAATGTGACTCAGAGGGGATGAACTTCCCTGTGTTATCCTGCTGCTGCAGGATAGAAATACATTAAGCAATATCATAAAGGGCAATTTGGGATGTTTTAAAAGGAATGTAATAATGAGCTAAGATCACATTGCTGCTCTCTACAAATGACCCACAAAGGAAGTTGCATAAGTGGGTAAATATTATCTATCTTGGTACAGTTTTATATGATAGCAAAGATTGTCAATTTTTGTGCAGACACGAGCAAACTGTGCAAAATAGAATAAAATAAATTGCTCTCCAAAAGCTGAAATACCAGTAATGACCAGCATCGATATTTTGAGCCATTGCTGCTAAAAGGTTACTATATATTTGCACCTCAAGAGATACTGTTAGCTGTAAGAAACCACAAAATATAATTATATTAAGAACTACTTGGAGATGGAGAAATCAAGAAGTATTCTTTGACGGAAGATGTGATCTTGCTTTGTTAGGATGAAAGAGAAGCTGTCAAGAATGTTATGATCCACAATCTCTTTTATGTTTATTATGAAATTATTAGTGATCTTTTATTATTGTTGGACAGGATGCCTGACTGTTGGATAAATCACTGCTAAAATTTCAACACCATTATATCTGCTTTTCCATCACGCTGAAAGCTAAAAGTTCGATTGAGTAACGATCCATGAAAGGAGCTATTCACTGTATCATGAAGAAGAGTTTATTTTTCATAAATCTACACTCTTACAGGGCTGTTTAAACTTGCCGATTTGACTGGTACACCTCATCCTGTGTAGTTTGCTACACTCATTCCTTGCCTCCTTTTGAGTTTATCTATCTCAGGAAGTCTCCCAGCTGTTTCAGTCATGGAATCTGACTTAAAAGATGGCTGCTTAATGCTCCAGGTCACATTGCACAAAGCCTGGCGTTTTGGCATGGAGGTGGCCCTAACCGTGTTAGGAAGGCGAGACAAAGAAAACAGACAAAGCATGACCATCGCATGACTGTAATAGTTTCTTTTAAGTTTTATGTGATTCTAAAAACAGAACAACAGTTTGACTTCTGGGAGCATTTGTCCAAACATTTTATATGCAATGTTGATTTCTGTATTTTAGTGTAGTTTATATATATATATATATATATATATATATATATATATATATATATATATATATATATATATATATATATATATATATATATATATATATATATATATATATGTCTACTACTGTACATTTGGGTGGAAACCATTGATTGCCATGTTGGTAGTTTGTAAAGTAAATAGCACACATTCAGCTGCACAGAGCTAACAGCAGTGGTTGTATAAGCAATGTGACTAAGGAGGGTCTTCCACTTGGACTCCAGGCTCACAACTGACGCCTGCAAGAGCTAATGGTAGATTAGTTCAACTTCCACTTCACCTCCTGCAATACTGCATTACTGTGAAACGTACATTACATATTAATGTGATACTGAAAGTCAAAAGGCAAGACCAGCATATAAGTATCTTTTTATAGACGTTTATATTGTATAAATGAGAAATATATGGAGTTAACACAGTGCATGAGTTGTACATTGTCAGCTGACAGAGTTTGAAAATGAATGAAGTGGGTTAGGAGGTGAAAAACAGCAAAGCACTTTTGGTGGGTTTATTGATGTGCGATAAGGGGGCAAAGACTTTGGTTTTTTGAATTATTAATTAAAATTTAATATTTTTATGTTTTGCAGATGATTTCACTGCAATCAAACACCCATGTATGCATTATGAATTGTGAGATTACAAAAAATATGCATTGATTATAAAATTCAGAATGAAGTTAGTGGTTGTTTAAGAATAAAGATTATGTTATCAAAAAATGCCCTGTGAGTGACTGAATCAGTGAGTCGCTGGTAATGTATCACTGTAACATTTATGCCAAATATAGTCCTGAAAATGTTGACTGATCCAAAATATGCAGTAAGACACTAAACCTCAAAACTCTCCTCCACTGGAAGTTTGACTTCTGAGATCAGCTGTGCATCGCTGTTTAGGATTGAATTGGGACACAAGTTAGCAGTGCAAGACGTCGTTGTCACTGAAAAGAAGATATAGAACGTAAACTGGCACTTCAAAAGTGATACAGAAAAAGACAGAACAAGGTAAGAGAAACACTTGACTGGCAGTTTAATTCCACACACATTTCACTTGTCTGTACATCAGCCAAGTGCAGATGATCTAGCTCCGTCTTTCAGACAAAATTTGATCACAAATGATGTGCTGACCTTGCTCAGGCTGGAAAACATCACTACGTAGTCAGAGTAATATAACAGCCAACCAGCCAGGTAATGGCAACAGTCAAAATCAAGCTATAGTTCTTCCATCACATAAATGCAGCACAAACCCTGGGCTTCACTTTTGATTTATTTCTTTTGATTTTTTTTTTGTTTGTTTTAAGACACTCAAGAGAGAAACTGTCACACAAAATAGAGCTTTTATTGACAAACAGCAAACTTGAACTGTTCTCACCTAGTATGGAACATCCATTTTATGTCCAACCAGGCCATTAAAGTACAAATTAGAAAAAACTTATTTAGATGTCTAACCAATAATACAGGGTCATGTTTCCTCTATTATTGGAAACTGCACATAAAATTTACCCTGAAGCACAGCAACTTGTTTTAAATGTTGTTTAGAATGCACACTTTTTATAAGGACATCATGGTACATACAGTTTGTTACCTCCATCACTTACAAGGACGGATTCATCTTCTCACTAGCCCTTTAATCCAATGTGTCATTTTGGGATGGCTCTCCTTTCCCCTTAATTCTCTGTTGTCATGGAAACAGACCTTTCGTGTCTTCTGCAAGGAGAAAACGGAGGAGTAGGAGGATGAATGCTCCCCTGGCTTTTCGGACGTCTCCTGTATTCTCCCCTGCATGTTGAAGAACAGCAGGAGTGTGTGTGCATGCACGCGTGTGTATGTGAAGGAGTTCTATTTCAGAGTTTCCCTAGGTCACAGCAAAGAGGATAGTATAGAACAAGCCTGCAACCTGCAGCAAATGTCTGCTCCCAATGAGAAAAACACAAAGTGAAAAAGGTTTACAGGTAAAGAGAAAAAGGAGCTGCTGAAGCTTTTTCAATTAGTTATTTTTATCATGTGGCTTAAAGGGTTTCCTGCCTTCAAGTGTACTGGTTTTTGACAATTATTCAAATCTGCATTGCATGATTCTTCATATTCATTACTTGCGACTATCATTTTCTGTTGATGTCACAGTTTTAAACAAGTAGCTTAGCGTTATCCATATTATATTATTACCACAACAAATTTAGAAATAAATGCAACAAAAACATTTGCACTCTATAATCTGTTTATAAAATTATAAATTTTAGGAATAGCCATAGATTTATGAAAATCCGATTGAGCTCTTGTATTTTTTGTGAAATTAATTGGGTAGATTTGACCCTACTTGACCTAAGGTTAGTCCTCACTGTTTAAGATAAATCTGAAAGACCCACCCTCACCTCTAGAGGAGGACACCCACTTATCCTCCTCCAAAGAATCTTACACTAACTGGAGACAAATGTCCCAGTGAAGCTTACTGGAGTGGGATGGATTTAAAATTAAATATAGAGGTAAATAAGAACTAAACTATAAGGTGGCTCTAGAAATAAGACCCTTTGAAATATGAAGATAAATGACGAAGGTTATAGGGGACCTAAAAATCTAATTTAAACATGTTAATTCAATTCCTAGGGAGTTTATTTCAACACTTTTAAAGTGTCTGTATTGGTCAGCAATAGATCGCGTTACACATTTCAAATAGTTGCAACTCAACACTAATCAAATGTTAACTCTACAGTCTAGTGTTGACCATTCACCCATTCATTATGGTGAGCTACATTGTAACCACAGTTTCCCAGGGGCATACTGAAAGAAGCGAGGCTGCCGTACACAGACAGGCTGGTTTATATGCTGCACAGTGGCATAATTTGTAGTACTCTTACCTTGGAGCAAGTAAGGGGTTCAATTCTTTTTGTGTAGAATTTGCATGTTCTCCCTGTGCATGTGTAGTTTCTTTCGAGGTATTCCGACTTCCTTCCATAGTCAAAAAAAAACATGACTGTCAGGTTAATTAGGGGCAGCAACTCTTTGGAGGAATTCATTCAGTTTAATTAGACTAGACAAGTGTTAAATTTAAACCACATTCTTAACATACAATGCCAGCACTGATAATCTAACCAATTTGATTTTGCTTTGTATCATAAAAACAGCCAGAATCACCATAGCTTCAGCAAGAAGACCCTACAGTATGAATTGACTCAAAGAGGGAGGTAAAACCGATTCACTTTAAAGTCAAAGCACGTTCCTTTTTCTCGCTGACATCTGCTCAGGAACCAAAAACGTATTTCCCCTTGATGTGCTTCCTTATTGTCAGCAGAATAAATTCTTAGCTGATTGCTGGTAAAAACTCTCAGTCATTCTTGAGTCTTAGTAGAAGATCTTTATATCTGATGGCAACTTTGGAACTTGACAAGACAATCAGGATATCAAAAGGCAAGAAATACTTGGAAAAAATCACTCTTCATCAGTTTTGTGGTTCCACCGAACTTTATATTCTTATTTTTCTGTAAAGCAACTGTGCCAACAGTGGGATTTTACATGTCTTTGCTGAAAGCTGACAGATTTGCTCTTTTACAGGTTAAGAGACATAAATGTATTAGTTTACCAGGTAAGAAATTCTTCCCTAACTAATTTCCAAATTAAGAATTTTGCAAAAAAAATTGAATGGATATTGAATTCTCGACTAAAACTGGAGGATGTCTTTGTTAATATACCTATACATGCGGTTTTTGTCCTCTAGACCTGTGAGTGTGCAGATGAAAATAATAAAAATAGAAAAGTTCCATTGCTTCCTTTTTTTTTTTTTTTTAGAGTTTTTTTGTTTTGGAAATGTGCCTGTCTTTGCCTCTGGGATTCAACTTGGAACGTTGTCTCTCATTCATCATGCCAATGAATGAGGAAACTCCTACTTCGAAGTAGGGTGTTCAGTACTACTCATTAAAAATAATTAGCCTGTGTTTAATTAAGACTCAGTTATGCTCCTTTGATGTAGCTGGGTCGTTATTTTCAATCCAAATGCCTGAGAGTCATAATAAAAGCCTGAATGAAATGAGCTTTCACATTTAAAAGGGCTGAATCTAAACCTGTTGTCTCCACTGGTTCATCTTATACAATAAAGAGGCTGCTGCATGCACAGAGATTTTTAACCCTCTCTGTCTTATAACAAGCTGCATATCTCAGTTCTATGTGCTATTAAGTTATTAAAGGTGGTTCATAGCACGTGTTGGATGTGCTTCCTGTCACAGGAAAATTGTTTGGTTGATTCTCTATGGCCAAGGGAGGGAATGGATGCAAATCTTTGGCTCGGGTTATTCTCCAACATGGTCGCTTTAATAATTTCCTCTCTCATCTCCTCGCTTATCCTCTTTATGTCTCATCCCATCTCTTCCTCTGCTTTCTCACTCTCCTAATCTCTATTCCCTGTCCACCCTCACAACCTCATCAATCTTGTCTTCTTTTTCAGTGGTTGCATGCATTCTACTTCGACTTTTACCTCCAGTGTTTTCCCAGCAGTAAATCTGCTTAAAGTTGATGAATTTCCATTTCACATGCATGCACGGTACAGACATGCCATACATCAAGGCATTTTTCAAAAGAAATTCCTAATGGGTATTATTTTCTGCTGAGCTTCATAAATGTACCGCATTTATTGTTAGAGCAAGAATAATTGATGTTATGAGTTTCATACAGACACAAACTCAAAATTGGGCACAAATATGGTAACGCTAGAGCAATATTAAAAAAGATGTTTTAATATACATCTACATGTGATTGGTCATTTTTATAACATTGGTCATTTTTATAACAGATGCACAATGTTGCTCCATTAATGAAACAGAAACCATTTATAAAGCAACTATTTTCTTGCCTTGTTAATCAGCCATGAGGAAAAAAAAAAAAGGCACAAAGTTGACATTTACATTTGTGACTTTATGAGCTAGAAAACTCGTCAATTGTGGTCAAACAATTGCATTAGAGTAAAGAAAAAAGGGCAGGATAAGCAGTGGTAATGTATTGATTACATGAAAGCTCAAAATTTAGGGTGATTTTTGATAAATAGATGCACGATTAAACAAAGTACTTATGCCTGTAGGTCGGCAGGTCGCAGCGTCATCAACAAATCCTGCTGAGTTTCCATCTCTCGGCGGGGGGCTCATTTAAAAGCATCTCTCAAAAAGGCAGGACAAACAGGACTTTGCAGCAAGATTATCATTTGCTGATTTCCTGATAATTACCACTTAAGTTCCAGACTATCTGCTTTAAACATCATGGGCACACACAATAAAGGCCAACGGCAGATCAAACAACTGCAGCCATAAAAAGTTTCTGAAAAGATGAGATTGTGGTGAAGCCAAGGCAAGTGACTCAACATTTTATGGTGTCCCTGCATTCCAAAGTTTAATATATTCCACTGAAAACCAAATTCCACTCACTGGTACAATAAATAGCAAATAATAAGCAGCACAACAGGCTGAAGCAAAACAATCTTTCACCCAGAAGTTTTTATGTTAGTGGTGTAATGGTTTACATATTCTCATCAAAACATCTTTGACATATATGCTGAATGAATACAGCCTTTTAAAAATGTAAGATATTCAAATAGTACATTAAAGTTCAGAACACTATGTGCCACTGTTAAAAATTGCAGTAACTGAACTTGACTGTGCATTTTTTCTACCTGGGATTAAAATAAAATGTGTGTAACTGAATTTTAATCTGTTTATAAAACTGAATTAAAATGACTGTCACGAAAA